TTATCCACCAAGGAGGAAGTTTTCGCTGAAAGCAACTGCTTCCTCCTGCCTGTTAGAAATAACACCTCTTAACCCTTTTTCCAGTTTCATGAGGTTTTTACATAATGGGTGCTTTTTTTCAGAAAGTTACATGCATTGGCACGCTGAAATCAAGTGATCAGTTGTATTTTGCGTCCCTACAAAATAGACGCATGTCCTTGTGAGTGTTTCTGGAGGGAAGAAAAAGTATGGAGAAAAATTAAGGTCCCGTGCATTAGTCATTCACACGTTCCTGTCGAGATACTGTTCTGGTGAACTGTCAGCCTTTTCTGAATTTACATGGGGTGGGGACTAGGTGTCCATTTCAGATGGATGCTACGCATCTGCTCTCCACAAATACACCGGAGCCACACGGGAATGAAATAAGATAAGCTAATTTATTGTTGCCTGATGTCGTAGTTGAAGTGGATGGTGATACCGTGCCCCCTGCCCTGGTTTAATAGTGACCTCGGGAATAAGAATGGTGTCTGATGACCTGGGACCTCTTGTCCCCTAGAGGTGGGGCTGCGTGGGTTGGGGACATGGAGCAGATTCAATCGTCCGGGAAGGGACAGGGCAATGCAGCGCTGTCACCTTGTTCTTGAGAGCTTGAAAGCCTGTTTTGCTGCCTGCTGAGAGGTAATACTTCTTCATCAGCCTCACCTGAGCAGTACTAATTTTCACATGGGGGTTTTAAAGTGTTAGATTCGGTCGAACAGCTAATTACATTTTTGGTGTTAACCCTCATTGTTCTTCCATGTGCACATGCCCTCTGACAAGAGCTTAATCCTCGCTCACTGAGTGCTTAAAGCCAGATATTTCCCCCCCCTTCATTGTTTCCCTGAGAGGATAAATCCATCCTAGCATTTTTTTCTATGTCGGAAATCTTAGCTCAAACGTACCCTTTGAGAAGGCGAATAAAACGTCAACTGCAGCTTGCACACCTCCTGTGAAAACAAATTATTTAATTCATGTAGTGATATCCAGGCACGTGAAAGGAATACAGATGTGTCTTTGTATTCCTCGCGCTGCTAGTCTGGGCCCCTTTGTAGTATGGGGGCGACCGCTGAGAAATCTGCGTGGCGCATTGTGCTTGCTCACAAACGGACGAGCACGGCCTGATGAGAAGGTGCTGTGGATGATGAGAGCCTAATTGCCGTCCCCTGCATCAGCAGTGCCTATGAAGCATCCTGGGAATTGCTTGCCCTACGCTCGGAGCAGCTGATCACATGAGCCTGAATTTTCAGCTCAGTTCATTAGTCAGCCATTTTGGTCAACACCCTGCTTACTGCGCACAACCAATCCTATCAGCACTCACTGTCCTGGCTTATCTGGGAAGAAAGGGACCAGCAGTTTGATTTCAGCAAACCTGGCTATCCGTCTCTGCGGTCTTCCTTTGTTTTTGCTTGGATAATCATCACAGCAAGCCATTCTTTTTCCTCCTTCTGCTTTTTTTTTCTTTTTATATTTTTTTATACCTTTTTTTTTTTTTTACCTCCTGTCTTTGATGCAGAAGCCAGGCTTTCTGTGGTCGCTTAGGATCAATAGCCTCTAGCGTAGCTGAAGACGACGGCAGTTGGTGGAAAGGAGGGAAGAAGAGACGAGCCTGAAGGAGCAGCGTTTTTGCCTTGCTTTATATATGAAAAGGCCAGAGCAGTCTGTACGACCCTGAGCATCTGTCCTTTAACAGCAAGGTATTTCTTATTTTCTTCTTCAGAAAGCTTTTTCTTTTCAGTTCTTTATTTTTTCCCCCCCCACCGTTGTTGTCGTACCAGCTGAGTCATCATGTCTGCTCTGACGCCTCAAAGCGACATGCCAACCCCCACCACAGACAAGATCACTCAGGCTGCCATGGAGACCATCTATCTTTGCAAATTCCGAGTGTCGATGGATGGAGAATGGCTCTGCTTGCGCGAGCTGGACGACATCTCGCTGACACCCGACCCAGAGCCTACCCACGAAGGTACGGTCCGGTTCCCTGCCCCGGGATTCCTGCAGCCGTCGCGTTGTTGCGACCGCTGCACGAGTTGGGAGGGGGTGTCTCCGGGAAGAGATGGGCTAGTCCTGCCTGAAGAACCTGGGCACCGCTCGGTGTATTAGCAAGCCAAATTGGTGCTTCAGATTGCCTTAGAATTTGTTGCATCTTCTGTAATCCACCCCTTTGAGAGACAGATTTGTGCTTAATTGTTACTATTTTTTAAAGATCTATCTGCACAAATCAGGTTTGTATGTCTCGAGAAGCAAGATAACCACGACGTGCGCCCAGTGATACAATTAGTCATGATTTTACTCTTAAAATGGGGCTTATAGCCCTGTTAGGCAGCTGTCAGCTTTTACAAATGGAGCATACTGGCAAAACACAGATGTGTGTGTGCATACGGCCAGCGAGTAGTTTTTGGAAAGCCCCAAGTGATTACGCAGTTATGCCTATTGTCAGGTGATAACACCATCACAAGTCTTCCAGCTCTGTGGAGCTTGCTGTTGTTTAGAATGGCTTGGAAGCCTGAGAAGTGCAGATGTACCACATCATGCGTTCTTCTTGAAAAGGGATTTGTCATCTCGGCTGACGGTGAAAGCAGTTTAATACCAGGTCATGTCAAATGAGGATTGAATGCTTTGCCAGTACTAAAAACACAGGAGGACATCCACGTGTTGCTTTGCCAATAAAAAAAAGTGGGGAAGGAGACGTGACGTATTTCTGCAGGAATTTTGCACGGCGGCCAGCGCTCCCGTGGTCACCGACGTTGCCAGGTTCTGAATGCCCCGTGCTGGATACCGAGCATCTTTCGCTCTTACAGCGAGGGGCCTCCAGCTTTTCACATCTGACCCTTTTCCAGCAACTACTGAAGTGTGACTCCACCAAGCAGTCTTGCTTGAGCCGTTTGCTGGCTTGTCAAGTCAGTAACGTCTTACCGTATTGTTGTCTTGCTGGATGAGGCAGCTTAAATTGTGGTGAGGATTTGAGCTTTAAAATTAATTCCCAGGTGATAATTCAATTTCCATTTGACAGCTGCTTTCAGAGGTAGCAGCCCTTGGGTTTGGATTTGCTTGCCAAATACTTAGTCACACAGTGGGATACTAGACAGAGGTTTTGGAAGCAGAGACTAACTCTCCCTCTGAAGCATGTCCTGGGGTTTCAGAGAGCTGCTGTAGGCTCAGGAAAGCAGAACCGGAGCAGTGAGTACAGAGTGAGCCAAGGGTATAGTAATTTAGCTGACTTTTAATTCCCATGTTCTTACATGTGGTGCAGGCTTATTCAGACCTTTCTTGATCTTACTCGTAAGTTTTTGGACTTGAGTGTTTGGTTTTTTTAACAGTACATTCTAGTGTAGGTGGATTGATTTTTTTTTTTTTTTTTTTTTTTAATATATATTCTATCTTTCTCTCACAAATAGTTACTACTCTTTTGACTGGTCCTTTTGTAGTCAGTGAATGACCTTCTAAGCAATCTATTGCTTTTCTCGCAGTAGAGCCTGGAAAACCTTTCAGTCACACTGTGAGTCAGTTTCTTAGAGCCTCATTTTTGTATGTGTGTGTCTATTTTCTGTTTGCCCTTCTTGCCCTGAGCAAACTCCTGGGGAAGGTAGGCTTGGATGAATCCAGTGTCTGTAATAGAGTTCTTCTGGGTTACCTTGCTGAAATATGCTGAATATGTGTCCTTAACATTGTACAGATTGCAGTCTTGCCTGCCTATGTAAACAATTCAAACACTGATACTAGACTAACCCTTCCCTAAAACTAGAAAAATAATTGTTTTCAAAGCTGTCATTACAGTCACTCTCTTGCAAGTACCAGAAAGAGTTAGAAAATAGTATTTGTTCATTGCATTGCCATATTACCGAATTTTTATGTCAAAAATTAAGTAAAAAGAGAGAGTTGTATCATAACGACTTTTAAGGAGATATTTACACATTCATAAATTCAGGTTGCTTGTTGAGAGGCAGAAAGACCGGTTGTTTTGGGGGGTGTTTTTTGGACCCAAGTCATATTTTAAACAGAGATATAAGGTCAGTAAAAAGTGTTGATAATAGAAAAGCTGACACAGCTTTATCCCCAGTGTTCGAAGCGGTGCTACTGCATCAGCACTGCTGCTGCGTCCTCAGTGCACACAAGGGCTGAGGGGACAGGATGGTGGGGCTTGGAGGCTCCGAGCACTTGTCGGACAGGCAAAGCAGGAGACCTAGGAGCTGAGACTGGCGTGTCTTGTCATATCTCCATAAAACAGATGTAGAAAGGTAGGGATTATGACGAGGAAGGAGAGGGGGAAAAAAAAGGCTCTAGAGTTCTGCCACAGAACAAAAGGTTGCATTTTTTTCCTTACATATCAAGACATGTAAAAAATAATAGATTACAGTAGCAAATCCAACAGCTTGTTGAAATAAGGATTTGAAGCCTCCAGTTGCTGTCCCTCAGCTCTTGCTGCTTCCCAAGAGGTTTTCCTGACTCTGGCCTCTCTTCACTCTGTGATCTGCTATGCCCGCAGTGCACAAGCAACCATCCTGCCTTCTTCCTCCTCCTCACTGCGTACCCGTCGTGCTGAGGATGAACAGGAACTGTTCAAGAGTGTCGAGAACAGAACAGCATACAGGATGAGACAGTTTAAAATGCAATGGGAAAATAAGATTTTTTAGTCTCGAGATTTCCGACTGCCATACATCTGTGCTGGGCTGCTCTCATGTAGCACTCTAGGATGACTCAGTTGTTAAATTTGGTGGGAGCCCAGGGGTCCTTTCTGGTTCCCGGCTTTTTCAGCTGACTTGTCTTACACCTTCAAGCTTTTCTTCATATGACTAGCTATGGTGTGAGTTTCTGCTTTGCTGTTTTTAAAGAAGCTTTTTTTTTTTTTCTTCCAGCTATACCAAAGGTAGGGCGAAAGAAGTAAAATATCTGACAAAATTGAATTGCTGCTAAATGAGAAGCTGCAGTATGTTTTTTTTTCTCTTTCCAACAGTTTGTCAAGAGCGGGTCTATTATTTCTCTTTTTTGTTAACTTTTTTAAAGCAGATGACTTAGGAACTACAGTTTAAACATACAAGAGGAGGCTTAGCTGCTCTGGTTTGGTATCCCTCACTGGAACACTGTGTTTTCATTCTGCTGAGAGAGGGGCATCAGAAGAAGTGTTTTAATGGTGCCGCATCGTAGAATTGGGGAGTGAGGGGGAGCTAGAGGCAGACTGCTGCTTTCTGGTTGTGCTCCAAGGTCTCCTGGAGCGGAGAGGCAGCAACTGCAGCTGGTGCTTATTATTTCTGAGGCCAGAGCTGCTGTCTGCCCTTTCCTCAAGAGTCTGCTTGCTGTAGCTGTCTCTGGAATAATCCCACTTGAGGCCAGTTCTGTGATAGGAGCTGGAGGGACAGGGAGGGAGCTCCTAATGTAAGGGCATGGTGGTAATCGCAGTCCGAGTCATGGACGCGTAAAAACAACAGGCATCCTCCTGAGGTGGTGATGTTTTCCAGTAAGACCGAGCCCAATTCTGCTACTTCGTAAGCCAAAGGCAATATACTTTGGGAAGCGGCTTCTGATCTGAGCCGAAACGGTGTAAATTTGGAGTAATTCTGTTTCTGCCACAGAGTTGGAGTTTGAGCGTAACTCTGAGCAAAACTTAAATTTTATTAAATTTAAGAGTAGCATGTAGCAGGAGGGTAAATGCATCAGTAGAGTTACTGAGTTTCTTGCAACTGTGTATTCAGCATAGCATGTAACATGGATGCTCAATTTAATGATAAAAGCGCTTAATTTTCTTTTTCAGCCTTTTGGAACAATTCTGTGTGTATGAAAGGAAAGTGATGTTGCTATATACTGTAAATGTGCTTGGCTTTGAAAAAGAATTTTTTTTAAAACCAACAATGGTTCTTAATTAGGTTATCAGGACTTTACTCAAATGTGACACTAGTGGCTATTAGGCTCTCATTTGTTTGCAACATGTATAATGATCATTGAGGCATTTTTAGGGACTGAGATGTGAAAAATGTCTTGGTTGTATTTCCGTTGCACGTGCAAGAGTGCTTGTGTACATGGGACAGAATGCTGATCTCAACTTTTGGAAGAAGTTACGAAATGCAAAGTGGCCTTGCACGGTTTTATTGGATGCTAGATTTCTACTCTGAATAATCATGAGGAACTTCACGTTAGAGTGTTGGGAATTCTAATCCTCATGGGATCAGCTGGTAATCGAGAAGAGGAGAAGTACATGCGATAACTGTATGGTCTGAATTTACTCGCAACTGTCAAGAATTGCGGTATCTCCCCACCCTGCTTCGCTTTTTTTTTTTTTTCCAAAACCTGTTCTATTTGCACCAAAATGGGGAGTTGGAGTGGTATGTTTATAACATGCAACGGTGAAATTATCTTTTCCATAGGATAATTTTTGGTAGCTAAGGTCAGATTTTTTTGTTGTTCTTTTCTGACCAGTAATTTAAAAGTGTTAACTTTCAGACACATCCTTGTATAAAGTGCCCTGCGTAGAAGTTGTACAGCTCTTCCAAAAAAGCAAACGCTCTTCTCAAAGCTCAAATATCTCTTGCCCATTAGTCTATCGCACTGTTTATTGCATAAGCCTTCAGATTCTACTTTTCCTCTCCGTTTTTCCGTGTTTCTTGGCACACTTCGAAATGATTGAAGGAAGCAGCATGACTTTGTTAGTTATTATTTTTGTTTTGCAGGTTGGCAGCCACCTTGGCACTTAGGCTTGCCTAGGGATGTGGGAGTAAGAATCACCTCATTTTTGGTGGGGCAGCCACAGAGCTGTTCAGTATTGAGGGAACCGTGTGGCATGAGGGCTCGTCCGCTGTACTGGCGCGACTGCGGTCCTGGTATAAAGCCACGCTGGTCTGCAGGGAACGAAGCACGCCTAGGAAGAAACCCTGAGAGCTGTTAATTTGGTTTAGGTTTTCTCCAGTAGCGTGGAATAGGAAAAGCAAACTATTGGGAGAGGTGGCATTGCTCCAGGGATTGTGCCTCTCTTGT